CACAACTTCTGGAATTGTACACAGGAACCCTTGGGGAAACAAAGACCTACGCTCTCTCAGTTCAGAAAAGAGGCAATGATATGGATGGATCTTGAAGGCATTATGCTAAGTAAAGGGCTTCCCCGATGCTCAGTGGGTAAAGAACCCACTCACAATGCAGGAAACGTAGGAGACACAGGCTTGAACTCTGAGTCAGGAAGATCCCCTGGAAGAGGAAATGGCAATCCACTCCAGGTCTCTTGCCTGGAAAATCACATAGACAAAGGAGCCCCGAAGGCTATAGTCCATGGGGTCGCAAAGAGTTGGACATGACTGAGCAACTAAGCACATGTTAAGTGAAATAAGTCAGAGAAAGACAAATACTGTATAAATTCACATGTGAAATCTAAAAAAACAAATTCATAGAAAAAGAGATCAGATTAGTGGCTGCCAGAGGGGGCAGGTGAGCTGGTAAAGGTGTTCAAAAGCTGTAAACCTCCAGTTATAAGTACTGGGGATGTAATGCGTAACATGATGACTATAATTAATGCTGTTTTATGGTATAGTTGAAAGTTGCTAAGAGAATAGGTTCTAAAAATTCTGATCACAAGGGGAAAAAATGTGTAACTATATGAGGTGATAGATGTCAAGCATAATTATTTTGCAATATATGCATGTCAAGTCATTACATTGTCCTCCTTCAACTTACACAGTGTTGTGTGTCAATTACATCTCAATAAAACTGGAAGGAAAAAAAGACATGAGTGGTTGAAGGGCCCATGAGAACAGAACACTCCTCCTCTTTCAGAGGGGTCCCCAGAGACTTGCCTGCTAGGGTCAGGACTCTTGGGTGACTCCTGCCAAAGTGATATTACCTCCTTTGGTCAACTCTCTCCTGAAGAGGAGCGTGCTTTAAGCAAAGAGATTGTACCGAGTTGCTGGGATTTTAAATCTTTTCTTGCTAAAAATACATCTATTGTGGAAAAATCCCAAAAGATGAAGCACATCACTAACCTCAGGGGGTCCAGCGGTCCTTCCTCACGTGCATGGAGCTGTGCTTCCAGCTCTTATCATTAGCAGTAATCTCAGGTCAGGAGGGGTTGCCTGGCTGTTCTCAGCTACGTGGGCTGCTTGCTGATTTCCTGGGGCCCTTGAGAGAGAGAAACACAAATTCTGCTTTAGAACAGTGCCTGTGTTTGTTTATTGGTAATGATCCTTTTCTTAAGATTCTTGAATGCATGGTTGTCCCTACAGTCCCCAAACCTCCACCTCCTCCCTGATCACTCATAATGTCTGCAGTCCTGAGGGTCTAGGAGATCAAGGCCATGCACCCCTCCCTCCAAGCCAGCACCAAAGGGAAAAACAAAAACAGACCCCATGGCTTCTCTTGGGTTTCTGGAAAATAAGGACAAGAAGCTTCTTCTCCCAGAGGCAATCTCCAGTGACAACGGGACCCAAATCGCCCCTGCTCCTGCTGTCCCAGGCTCTGTGGGTGCTCACCAGCCTGAACGTGTGCGTAATAGTAGGAGCGGCCATGTGTCTGGGTCAGGATCTGTATGAAGGGTCCATGTTATAGTGATCTTTCTTGGCTCCAAAGCTACACACTTATTCCCAAGTGGTCTACTGTTCACAGCAGGGACCTAGATCAAGAATACAGGTGGATCAGAGAAACCCCAGTACTAGAAAAGGAGCTTAAGGCACATGTACCACCAGGCATTTAAGCCATTCTATCCTCGCATATAACATCAATAGAGCAGCTGCTAGATGCTGAAGACTAAATTATGAATGAGGCATAGTCTCTGCTCACTACTACAGATAGAGAGGCGTAGATATATATGTAGAGTCAAGATATACAAATATCTATGTATATATGTATGTGCATATATTATGAGTGAATGAATAAGTATGATTCATGCCATTTGATTAATGCACAAAAAGCTTGAGGAAGGAACAGTTAGAGGTAAGGGAATGTGAAATGGAGGGAGAGAGTCAGAAGGAGCCAAGAAAGCAGCACTGGATTGGACCTTAAAGGAAGAGAAAGGGTGGACATCTCAGAGGGAAGAGCAACTTGTTCAAAGACATAGCAGTGTACAAGTCTTTGATCCATGTCACTGGACAGCATGTACTATTTCCCAGTATCCAATGTCAAAGTTCATGGGAATCAAGGAACTATCACAAGTGCCTGAACTCTAACCACCTCAGAAAGGTTAGCTGCATCATTCTATCACTGTGTAAAAGACTCTTGTCATCACCACACAATTACATATACATCTAAAACCAACCATGTTCAAGGCCCATGCCAAGCAAGGAACCTACAAATACATATAACAATACTGCAAGGAGATCCAACCAGTCCATCCTAAAGGAGATCAGTCCTCAGTGTTCACTGGAAGGACTGATGTTGAAGCTGAAACTCCAATACTTTGGCCACCTGATGCGAAGAGCTGACTCATTGGAAAAGACCCTGATGCTGAGAAAGATTGAGGGCAGGAGGAGAAAGGGATGACTGAGGATGAGATGGCTGGATGGCATCGCCGACTCAATGGACATGGGTTTGGGTGGATTCTGGGAGTTGGTGATGGACAGGGAGGCCTGGCGTGCTATGGTTCATGGGGTCACAAAGAGTTGGACATGACTGAGCAACTGAACTGAAATATGTTTTCTCCATTGCATTTGTCTTTAGGTGACCTTAGGTGTGTGGTTTATCTCTGGGCTCTCTATCCTGTACTATTGATATGTTATTTCTGCTTTAGTGCCCATACCGTACCATCTTGACTGCTATAGCTTTGTAGTATAATCTGAAGTAAGGGAGCCTGATTCCTCAAGCTCTTTTTTTTTCTTTCTCAAGATTGCTTTGGCACTTCATGATCTTTTGTGTTTCCATATAAATTGTAACTCCCAATGATGCGTTGAGCATTTACCAGGTAGCCACTCATAACAATGCCTAACATTTATTGAGCACTTACTTACAATGTTATAGGCGTGGCACCAAGGATTTCACATGCATTAGCTCTTGAAGCTTTGCAATGCCCCATAAGGTCGACACGATTATTATACCCATTTCCCAGAGAAGAAAACTGAAGCACAGAGTTCAAGCAGCTTGTCCAGCATTACACAGCTAGTCCAACTCTAGAGCCCATGACTCATAAGCTCCTAAGTGCAACTCCTGTGGTTCACTTCCCCCAACCTCCGCCATGCTCCAGGTGCAGAGACCAGGTACAATGGAACTTACATGAGGAAACACAGGTTGTTAGCTTTACCAATGTGCATGGCTAAGCTAAGACTTCCAGAAGGACAGGCTTTAGATACAAGAAAAAAGCTGGAGTGGGCAGGAATAGGGCATCAACTAGTCTTGCTCCAAGTTGGCAGTCTCCACAGGGCTGCTTGGGGGGCATCCATGTCCTTTATGAGTTGCTCCCATCCAGGGTTTGATTGTCAGTCTTGCAGGCTGGAGCACTCGATTTCTCAGCTCACTAAGAAAAGAGTCATATCTCAGAGGTGAGTTTAGCATATTAGAATCATATTGTCTTGAGACAGAGTAGTTCTGTTTATTTGACTAGTACATCCTCTCCATATGAAGAAAGTCAGCTCATAATCAGAATAATAATAACAGCTGGTATTTGTTGAGTTCTTACTCTATAGTACGTGCATGAAGCATTATGTAAATAATGAAACAAAAGGGAGTTAAGATAAATGTAATATATAATGGCATCACACTAAGACAAACTGATGTACCCATTTCTCCAACATGGAGGGTAGGGCCAATGAGATGGAAATACTTGAAATATAATGATCATGACGCCTGCTTGAGTCACTATAATGGGGCTCTTGGCCCAAACTCTGTCCCCTTTGTATGGTCATTGCCTGGGTGACTGTCTTTTCTTTACGCATTAGGCTGAGCAGTGTCACTTCTGATTAACACATGCTTCCTGTAGGTGTGTTAATACATTCAATCAGGTTACTGTCAAGTCTTACTGCCCAGGGAACCATTCTGTCTCCTGAAGGTGACTTTGCATATCTCTGCTCTGTACAGATCTTAAAGTTTAATCCTCAGCAGACAATCCTAGTTCCCTTATCTACAGATGCTTGGCAGATGCCTCATTTCAGCCCCCACATATAGGCAACATTAAAAAAATGATACCAAATATACCAGGAAGCAATGTGTTTTACTGAGGCTTCCCAGGTGGCTCAAGGGTAAACCTGTCGGCTAATGCAGGAGATGCAAGAGACTCAGGTTTAGTCCCTGGGTTGGGAAGATCCCCTGGAGGAGGCAATGGCAACTAGCTCCAGCATTCTTGTCTGTAAAATCCTATGGAGAGTGGAGCCCGTAGGGCTACACTCCATGGAGTCACAAAGAGTCAGGTACAACTGATCAGCTGAGCACACAATGAGTTTTACTGAGGCAGAAAAATTGTGCAGGGGAGTTAAATTTGGAGAGATAGGTTGGATCTTGGATCACTGAATGCCAGAATCATCACTGCCCAAACTTACCCCCAGGGTCCAGCATTGCGTTAGACGTGTGTGTGGTGGGGGGAGGGTGGTTTAGGTGTTTACTCAGTCACTCAGTGATGTCCCACTCTTTGGAACCCCAGGGACTGTAGCCTTCCAGGTTCCTCTGTCCACAGAATTCTCTAGGCAGGAATACTGGAGTGGGTTGTCATTTCCTTCTCTAGGGATCTTCCCAAACCAGGAATAGAACCCAGGTCTCTTATGTCTCCTATATTGGCAGGTGTATCCCTTCCCCTACAAAGCACAAATAAAAGTATGTGTCTGTCTGTCTGTCGGTCTCTCTCAGAGCATGAGTGCACACATGCACACACGCACGTGCACACACACACACACAGGACCTGCCCTTCATGAGCTTCTATTTTAAAGCAGATATCACTGCATTACCAACAGGATTATAAACTCATTCATTCATTCATTCATTTTTAATTCATTCACTCATTCTGCACATATTTATAAAGTGCTTCTTGTGGGTCAAGGACTATTCTCAGAAAGGTATCTTTTGGTCTCTCGAGGCTCCATCTCCTCCCCAGTCTTAACCCTCATAGAACAGGTGCAGAAGAGAGAGGAGGAGGAAGTGTCTACCCTTCGCCAGGCCAAGCTCACTTCCTCCACTCCAAAGGAGGTATTGAAGCGGGGAGAGCATGAAAGACGAGGCCATATATCATTTCTGCTCCAATTCCAAAGCCTGGTTAGGACTGAGGGAAGTGGAACAGATGAAGTTTGAGTCTGATTTGGGATTTGAATTTTAAACTCGATTGGAGTTGTTTTTTCCAAAACCAAAGGTCACCGTAAAATTAAAGATTTTACCCAAAGTATCATGGGGAAAGAAAAAAGCCCAACTGAAAACAGGCTCTACAAAATAAGAAATTTAAACCAAGTCCATAAACATTTACACGATTTTTTAAATTGGTCCGATTCTTCACAACCTCACTCCCTTCACTATGGTTTAATCCCCCATCATTTCTCAGGGGGATTCCTGCCAAAGCCTCCCCACAGATTGATCCTTATCCACTGTTGCCCTGATCCAATTCCCTTTCCAGCAAGAGTCAGCCTGATTTTTGAAAAACCTTCTGATCATGTCAACATCTTGCTTAAAACCCTCTACTGCATTCCCATTGCTCTGGATAAAGACAAATCTCAACAGTAGAATTTTTTGGTTAAAAGGACATAAAATTTAACAAGCCAAAAAAAAAAAAAGGACATATTTGGGAACCGGATATACTAAGGCATATATTAAGTCAATATATGGATTTAGTCATGGCTCTGCCATTCACTAGTTGTTAGTAAATTGTTGGTATCGTCTCTGTGCCTCGGTTTCTTCAGTAAAATGGGGATAATCACGGGATCACCACATCATGGGATAGTCACAAGGATCAAAGGAGTAGATGTGTGTTAAGATCTTAGAATACTGGCTGGCTCACAGCAGTGAATGTGAAGTGTTCCATGCAGATGTTTCCTTGGGGAGCTGGAGTGCTGCAGCTTAATTTACAAAGAATGGAGGGAGCTGCCAGCTGAGACTGGAGACTCACTCCTGATTCCTCACTACCTGGCCTGGAGCCTGGCATGCAGGAAGTGTTCACTGAGTATTTGTTGGATGGATGGATGGATGAGATAGAGTCCTCCTCCTACTCACATAGGGCCCTGAGCCCTTCTGTGCCTCTCCCCTTCCTCAGCTTGAATGGCTGCATGGAAGGGGCTGTGGTAACTTAGCAACAAGGGCTTCTGCAGAGATGAAGCCGCAGACAGTAAGATCAGGCCCCTGGTCCCACCCTGCACTTGAGAACAGGGCATGTGCAAACAGGCACCTATACCTCTTCCCTGGCCCCCTTCAGGCCTTGATTCTGCTGTTAGGAGCAGTCCTGGCCCCAGTGATATTCTCTGGGAGGTGAAGGGACAGGAGGCCCTATAGGATGTCCCACCAGTCCAGGGGATCTGTGACAGGATGGGAACCTTTGGTACCCTGGACTCAATAGACAGAAAAGCTGAAGGTGAGGGTATTATGGGAGCATCTCCCCCCAAACCCTACTTCAGCCATGATGTGAGGTCCAAGCTGATAGTCAAAGAAGGATCCAGGATTCTTCAAAAGCCACAGTTAAACAGACAAGATGATCTCAGGATGAGGCGGCCAGGCTTGTTATGGCAGGTGGGGCAGAAACAGTATCAAAAGACAATAGGGTGGAATGTGCCAGATAAGATGCCTGCACACAGAAGGTAAGATTCTGGCCTGGGAGCGAAAGGACTGGGATTCTGGTGATGATCGGCTGTGGGTGTGCCGCCACTTTGTTCCAGGGCTCATTCTTTCCTTTGTAAAATAAGGAGCTGGACAAGATCTAGGTCCCTCTAGAGCTATTGGCCATGAATCCAAGCCAATACCCACCCCACACACCCCAAAACTGCTCATTTGTATTCTTTTTTTAAAAGAAGCATGCCAAGTTGTTTTCTCCAGCTCCAAGTTCATTTTACATGTAATATACTTGGAGGATACAAGCATTGGCAAAACCAGTTCCCGCATCCTCCCTGCCCACTCCCCAACCTGCACCATCACCAACCAGCACCACTCACTGGAGTAGGAGATGTATTCAGAGTGGCTGCTCCAGAGCCCAGGGTAAGATAGAGAAGCTGTCAGAACCAGGAGGTGTCAAGGTGTCTAGAACCTAAAGGACCCCAGATGGGCCCTTTGACCCAAGCCTTTGAATCAGGAAAGGTTTAGGATCAGATGCTAAGGAGACTCCTGGTGGAGCCATGGCCATTGTGATGGAGTCAGGAATCAGGAGATGGGCTACTGTTAAAGGGTAGGAAGTGGTCCTCGTACGTCCTACCCAACCTAGGTAATCATTAGTGAAAGCGGAGGCGGAGGGCTTGGTGCGGGGCCAGGAGCAGGGCAAGCTGCGGTGGCGTGAGGGTGACTATGGGGGTGCAATTCAGCACGGCTGCACACCAGAACCTAGCAGGTCTGCCTGCTCCCTTGCCGGTGCTGAGAAGCCTGAGCTGGGAGGAGACCTTCCCAGGGAAATGCCTGCCAAGAAGTGGTCACCTGTAATGAGGCAATAAACGGGGTAATTACTGGGCAATTACTGGCCCTCCAAGTGTCTGGGAAGCTGCAGGTGAGAGAACTTGGCCAACTTGAGGCTCACACATCTCTTGTGAGCAGGAGGCCCAGCTGATAATTAGACAGTGTGGATGGGCGAGGCAGAGGCTTTGAGAACATGCACTTCATCTTTTCTTGCTTCTTTTTTCCTTTCCCTCTCCTTCTGGCCCAAATTCAAGGCAGTCAACAAGTGCCTGAGGCCTGGGTATTGGCCAGGAGACAGAGCCTGCTGCAGATTTTCTTGGCATCTTTGGAGACCACAGTTGACTCCACCCTACTTGCTTCCACCCACTCCACCTGCTCCATCCCACAGAGCTGAGTCCCTGCGCTCTTGGATGGAGGCTTCCGGGAATCCCTGTCCAGGACCAAGGCTGGGACAGGCCCAGTGGGGCCCCACCTGCCGGCAGAGACAAATTCAACTGTCCCGCTGCAGCCTAGCAACTTGACGTCACAGTGCAGTTTCTCCAGAGGCCTCAGTGGTAAAGAATCCACCTGCCCGTGCAGGAGACACGGCTTTGATCCCCAATCTGGAAAGATCCCACATGCCACGAGACAACCAAGCCAGTGCCTCACAACTACTGAGGCTGTGATCTACAGCCCGGGAGCCACGACAAGAGGAGCCACTGCAATTAGAGGCCTGTGGGCACCGCAGCTAGAGAGTAGCTCCCCGCTCACTACAGCTAGAGAAAAGCCCCCAACTCACCACAACTAGAGAAAAGCACAGCAACAAAGCAACAAAGCACACAGCAACGAAGACCCAGCACAGCCAAAAATAAGTAAATCAATCGTTTTTTAAAATGCCACTTCTTTGTAAATGTCTTTTTCTCTTTTCTTATTCAAACTTGGAGGTCTCACCCCTCCTAGCTCCTTTCTTCTAGTTAACCAAGTTGGACTAGTTACCCCAGAAAAAAAAAATTGAAGTAGTTAAACATGCAAAATGTCTGGAACTGTTGAGGCTATTGAATAAAATGGGTTTGTTTGCTCTGGTTGAGGGCAGGATAGAGATTTGGGGGGAATGTGAAAATGAATGAGAAAATTTTTTTTGGTCTCTTTTATAGATTGCTTGTCACTGTGTTAGTTTAGGAGCATTAAAAATGTATAACATAAAGCTTGTTCTGCTCATAAATGATCCTCTTTGGCATATTAAAATTTAAAGTATAGTTTGTTCAGGCAGTAATTACACTTTTACTAATTGAATTTATCTTTAAATATTTCAAAGTTTTGTAATAAGTTGAGCTACAAGATACTAAGCCTCAAGATATTTGTATTCAATGGTGTTTCAGAAATAGGCAAAAGCTGGAGAACAGAAGAAATCACTAGCATTAGATTAAAATGAGAAAAAGGGTTTGTTTTCTGGCATTCTCTAGTGCCCAGAAAGACAACAAGCCAAATAATACATGACACAGTGCTTTAGTTTATAAAGCTCCTTTACATACATTACCTTATTTGATTCTCACATCAGAAGTCTAAGCAGGAAAAGAAAAAGTTATGCATCTAAAGATAAGGAAAATGGAACTCAGAAAAGCTGAGTGACTTGCCCAAGGTCACACAGGAATGGCAGAGCTTAGATCTGTCTCCTAACCCCAAAGCCCTGGCTCACTCACCCTTAGAAAAGGTTCCTGATAAAATGTCCTCAGTGGACGACTGGATTGACAAAATGTGGTCTGTACATACAATGGGATATCGTTCAGCCTTAAAATTCTAATACTTGCTATGACATGGATGAAACCTGAAAGCATCATATTCAGTGAAATAAGTCAGCAGGAAAGGACAAATATTACAGATTTCCAATTATATGAGCTATCTAGAATAGACAGATTCATAGAAACTGAAAGTAGAAGATGGTGGTTGCAGGTGGTGGTGGGGTGGAAGGAGTAGGAAGTTCTTTAATGGGTGCAAGGTTTCAGTTTGGGACGATGAAAAAGTTCTACAGATGGACATTGGTGATGGTTGGCATAACATTATGAATGTGCTTAATGCCACTGAACATTTTGAAACCACTAAAGTAGTAACTTAAAAGAATATGTCCTGAACACGAATTTTGCCTCCAAGGAATTCATTTTATCTGCTCAACTAGTCTTTTCAGCACATTCTGCTGCCTCCAAACCATCCCTCAACTTCCTTCCCATTCACTCACTTCTTGAGAAAGAAAGTTTTGCCTTGGTTACTGTAAGATTCTCTTCCGTGACAAACCAACCTAAACCAATTTGGTTCTTTTGGTAGATAGTTGAGGGCCGTGCTCTCATTTGCAGATAGTATGTCACAACAAAAAAAGTTTCAGGCTGGCTTCTCCCGTGCAGACAGATTTATTAGCAAGCTGGCCTCAAAGAGCCTATCCAACAAATTCAGTGAAGTCCGTCTTCTGACCTGTGAGGCCTTGTGACAGCACACTGGATGAATGTGTGGCCAAACTCTAGTGATGGGTTAGGAATTAGGCTTTCAAATCCTGTAAGTGGCTACAAGCAGAGCTTGTTTTAAATCTTAGCACACCATTCCAAAGAGCACACGTTACCATTGGCCTTGGTAAACTGATA